TGGCAGCCCACGGGTCAACAAATGGCCGCAGCATGGCCGTAGCATAATACAAAATCATGCAAAATCTGGTTTGTACTACACCATTTCAATGACACAGTGACCTTTGAAAAAAAATGTGCACTCTCCAAATGCGTTGGTCCTGCAGGGTCTTGGTTGATACGGAACATCCGCTCATTTTTTCCAATTACCAGTGCATGAGATTATGTAGTAAACAAATATCGTCGCATATCATGGTGTGCGGAAAAGTTTGAAATGGCCAGCTCGTTAACCAATTCCTCTGCTCACAAAGAGTGCTGCGCAAAAAATAACAAAATTGATCAAGATTGCATATTTTCATGCGCCGGGAGTTCTTTTCTGGTTCAAGATGGTTCAATCATGTTTAACCTGCCCGTCAGCCAGCAATTAGATCGATGCAAGACAACCGGCGACGAACATCGTGCAATGTAAAATGCTCATGGATCGTGGATGTACTTCGGTGCACGCTGTGGTCTGTGGTGATTTTTTTTGGATCTTTTTGGTCATTACTATTCATTACTGGAAAAATTGGAACCCTTCCCCAGCCTCAGCCCCAGATCGTGGCCCCAAGACCAGCAGGAGCTTGGCACAGGGCAACTCGGCAAGGATAGGTTTGATATGGCTTGGTAACATGCTTGATATATCTTGATGTATGGAACCGGTGAATTTCAAATCTGTTCTGTTTGGTTGGGATTTGCTCAAGTGAACCTGTGCTTGGCAAAATGCGGCCATGCGTTTGCTTGCGCAAAGACTGTCTAAAACCGGCGAAGGGTTTGGTTGCCCTGTTCTACTCAAATCCATTCAAATCCACTCACTTGAATCTAGGTCCTGGTCGGCAATCCCAAATTTTCAACGCCACGGAATGCCACAGGCTGTTTGAACATATTTGCCACATAGCGGCTTACCTGTAGGGCCGTGCGATCTGAGCGCTCTCTTGCGGAGAGGACATGCAGCACCTCAGACACACCAGCCCGTTCCGCATAACACACCATGAACAGGCAGGCTTTGTGTTTGGGCTGGGCTTCAGTGTCCCAGGTACCGGACCACTTTGCAATCTACATTCCCTTTTGAACATTCACATGTCAATCACCTTCCCTCCCACCCTCCAGATTTTCCTAGAGACGCTGCTGAATCACACTTGTTCAACACATCGTTGAAACCACATGCCCATTGCATTTTGAAATAGGTAATAGTAAAACCAGTTGGGTATGTAAGTGGGCACCCAATGGTGCCCACTCCGCATTCCCCGAATTCCTGAGGGAAGTGGGGGGCGGGTAAGAATTGGGGGCCTATCAAATCCTAAGCCAAAATGGCAAGATATTCAAAGAATTCCCAGTCTACCAGCCAGAAAGACATGTTACATGTTACTTCAACATAAATGTTTCATCTAACATTCACATGTCAATCACGTTCCCTCCCACCCTCCAGATTTTCCTAGAGACGCTGCTGAATCACACTTGTTCAACACATCGTTGAAACCACATGCCCATTGCATTTTGAAATAGGTAATAATAAAACCGGTTGGGTATGTAAGTAGGCATCCAATGGTGCCCACTCACATTCCCCCAATTCCTGCTGTAACCGGTCATGATGACTCAGAGCTTGAACTGGAGGAGCTGTCATTTTCTGGCAGGCACTTTGGGCACTTCCTGCCAACATCAAGGGGAGGAGAAGAACGAAAGGTGGTGATCTTGGGTTGTTCAGAAAACTTCCAATCACACGCGGTCTTCCAGGTGGAAGGTGGTGTGCAGAGGTCGATGACCGCTTCGTGTAACACCTCTGAAGTTCTCTCACATGTCTGTTTTCTAAGACTTGTGAGACGCCATCAAGGGATGTGGTCAAATCATGCACTTTGTTCTTGAGCTCCATGATCTCTCGTCGAAGACGGCCTCCTTCAGCTGCAGGTTCAGTTGCAACTTTGCCTTCAAGATCTGTGGAGCAAATGTGTTTCGCAGAGAGACGAATCTGTTCAGTCCTGCTAGCAAGACGGTCAGAAAATGCTAAGAGCGGAGTTTCTGCTAGGTACCCCAGAACAGCGCTAGATCCCCATCATCCAAGCATTTGCACAGTGATGGGATCAAGCCCCCACGCCGAGAGAGTCCTCGCACCAGTGATCCTGAACGTGTGTCCAGAAACATCCAGAAACTATCCAATTGCCTTCTGCATCGTTACACCTGACGACACAATAGCCTCTCTGATCATGTCGACAATAGCTGCTTTCGTGCATCTCCCATTGGAGACACTTGCAGCCCAGGGACCAGTGGTTTTGCCTTCACGCCGGCGTTCATTGTCATACTCACGCATGATGTGAACTGGACATTGGTATCCTTGTTCACAAATGCTTGACCAGGTGCGACGACATCCCTTTGCCTGCCAATCTACTTTTGACACCTGGAAATTAAGTGTCACGGTGTTCTCAGTGAAGCTGACATCCTCCATGTCGATAACTGACAATCCCAGTTCTTTGGGCAGGAAGAAAACTCCTACGACCACTGCTGCCAACGGTGATCTGGGCCATCTTCTGTAACTGCAATGTCATTGCAAAGCAGGTGTCTCACTACCCCGTCCAAATCAAATGCCTCCGATTTGGAAGGGCCGCCCAGACCTCTAAGGACCGATCTCGTGCAGCGAGGTGCTGCATTCTGCAGTGCTTGCGTCCACATGTATCCGGCTTCAGTGTGGATTTCTTTAATCCGAAACAGGTAGTTCTTGAAGGATTTGTAAGACCCCAGTTCGAGAAGACAAGAGGCCTTCTCCAGTGAGTTGATGGACAAAGGGAAGGAACCATGTCATCGTTTCCAAACCACTGTCTGTGACAGCGAGTCCAGGTTTGAACCATTGCATCACGAGGTTTCCTGGGGGACGCAGCATAGAAGTCTCTCCTGAACGCTGCCATGGCATCTGCGGGTTGTCAAGAAAATCAAATGAATTTCTGGAACAAGGCTCAGCCGACTTCCGAATAACCGGCATGTCACGTTGCCTAAGGCCCTTGTCGTTTGAAGGGTGACCGTTGTTCACCGTAGTGCTCTTGGGATGGTTGCTCGAAATGCCAATCTGACAATAGGGGTTTCTGACCATATATGACTGCCCGCTGGTGACCTTTCGTTCAAGCGTCCATGCCGGCTACATTGCATAGTCAACCAGCGCTCAAGGTCACCAGCTGGTAGATTCGGGAGGAAGGATGCTTTGAAGCTTTGCCAACCCTTCCTCCTTTTCACAGCCCCTTCAAGCTATTCAGGGCACCCCCCGCCTGAACCTCCATGTATGCTGCGCTGGGATGTGGGTATCTTGGGACATGCCCACCGCAGTGGGCATCACTCGCCAGACAGCTGCAAATATCGACGGTAACATGTATGCTCATCACAGCAACACAACGAGATCAATGCAGCGCAAATCAGTGCAAATCAGAGATGCAAATGACCTGTCGCCTAAGGAGCCTACCCAACAAAGGAACCAATCAGATCATCCAAGACTCAATCAGCCATCAGCATCACTGCAACGACAAGGGGAAGATGGCAGGAAATGACCTCGATACCTAACGAGCCTGGAAGGAAGGGAAATGACATGCAAGAAACCCCCGCCTCTCTGAGCATGCATCGGCCGCTGTCCAATGTCTTGCGGACTCAAGTTCATTTATGGATCACTTCTGGGGCATTTCCTCTTGCTCCATGCCCCTGTGTCTGCCAGTGGTTGTGCCGGCATGGAGGGCCCTGTCAACGTCTTCCACCAAGACAACGGCCTTGGTGATGGTGTCAAACTTTGGTGGTGAACGTAGCGCTTTCCTGGCTCAAACTTTCTGGAGATGGAGAGTGAGTCGGCCACGACATTGGCTATCCCAGGCAGGTGTTGCACTGCCGCCGGTCGAAAACTTGCAGTACCCAGATCCAATGCAAACTCCCTGGCCACCACTGCCAAGTGTTTCGACTGCGTCTTGAGCGTCGAGAACAGCACCGGGGATGACATGTTGTCACCGCGGAGGTACCTCGTTTCCAGCGCTGCGTTTCCAGCGCTGGGCCCACTGTCTTATCGCGGTCAATCCGCAAAGGCACTCCAGAAGTTGTTGCGCCTCACATCCTCCAGTCTTGATGCCGAGGGCATCTTCGTTGTCGGTTGACACATGGTTCACATATACATCCATTGATGGTGAGAAATGCTCCCATGCCATGCGGCGATGCATCCCAAGTGATCTGAACTCTGACTCCAGTGTTGTAGTATTGGTCAACACTGTATACCCTTCGAATGCTTCCAGACTCACCTCGCAGAAGAGCCTGAAGCCACAACAGGGTGTGTCTGACCTGTTTGGTCCAGATGCAATTGTTGGGGGCCTTGTTTGGTCCATGAAGAGCAGCATATAGTTCCTGGAGAAGCGGTCTCCAGATATACAAAACGGATGCGATTGACATGCACTTGCCAAACAACGTGTGGATCAGCTGCAAAAGTTCTGTCACCTCGGCTTCAGTGACCTCCACTCTGACCTCACTGCGTGCAATTTCCAGTGACACGCCTATCCAAGTTGCCAAATTCGACAACACTGCCTTGGGGACGCCCAGAAGCATCCAAAGCCACCGAAATCGTGCATGCTAACCTCTCAACGCTGCCTTTGATCACTGTCAACGGGTCATCAACGTGACGTAAACCTGCATGGCTCCTTCTGGAACCCAAGGTCTCTATGTCTGCAGAAACACGGTGTTGACTGGCCAAAACGTGTTGCCAGCGCCATGATCACTGCAAAGGTCATTGGTGCTCCTCTCGAACCCTGAGCTGCCCTCAAGAACACATAGCATTTGCCATTCAATGATTCAATGTTGCCACAAAGAATCGTCTCTCGCTTTGACGCAGTGGTATGAGTCAGAATGCATCTGCAACATCAGCAATGAAAAGGGTTACAGTTTCGATGTCATCACAACTATGTAGCCATCTCAATGCCGTGTGAACTGCATCCGAAACTCTGGGCAACAGTGCGTTCTTGAAACATACCTCGGCACCAGTGATTTCTTGCAGTCCAAGATGATACGTGTCTTCTTGGTCACCTGGCCAGTGTCAATGTTGATATTCTCCTTGACTATACAACCCAGTTTGGACAACACTGGGATTGCTCCCAGGAATTCTGCTGCCTCCTGCAAGCTGCAGCTGCCCACTCATGCAGATACCTTTTTGAGCGGAATCCTAAAATTGCAGCAATTGCATGCAATTGCGTCAGGGTTGGTCTCGACGCCGTCATAGTTGGAGAAGGTGTCAAAGTCGGTTGCCGGTGATGCATCGTCTAACTCTGGTGAATCATCATCAACTTCAGCACACACTCCTTTCAGGTCTATGCTCGGAGACAGACCCGCTGGAGCACCTTGATATAACCACTTGGCTGCAAATGCGGCAGGGTCTTCGGTGACCATGTGCCCAGTATTCCAACAGGTGGCCCCTAAGGCCCTAACGACGGTCTTGTAGGAGCCATTGTTGATGGGTTCAACATCGCAAACTTCCGGCAAACCATCACATCTGTTCCTCTGCAGCAACTCTGCAAGCTTCGCCCTAACATCATCAAGCCACTCTGTTGGGTGAACCACCTCATCCTGCACCCTGCCAAAGTTGTTGACAATGGCATCTTCAACGTGTGGTGCTAGTTCCAACTCGCGCTCTATGAGGTTGCCAATTTGAACCCCACGAGCTTGGATTTGGCCGACATTGACTTCTGAACGTTTCTGAGCGACCATTGTTCCACGTCAGCTTCACGGACTGGCTGTCGCGCTCTGAGTTGCGCAGGTGTCTCAAGCCGAGTGTCCAATGTGCTCACTGCCCCATCTTCTGCGCGTCGCCTTGCACGCAGCCCATCATCTGATTGTGCAGCTGAGGGCATGACTGCGTCTGCACTGAGCCATTCTGAAAACTTTGCTGCAAGTGCCCTGTTCAAGCCTTCAGGGTGCGCAGCGAAAGCTCTGGTGACATTTAATCCTTCAGGCTCACGTTCACGAAGCATCGGCTCCGACCACTCACTGGCAGGGATTGCAATCTGCTTGCCCTTCAGCGGTGGATGCGCTGACTGCGCTAGTTAGTGTGTATATCTTGACATCATCATGGCCCAAAAGCTCTTGGAACTCGTCAAGCATGAACATTGAAGTCTTGCCTTCCCTCCAATGCGGTTGTTCCAGTACCCAGGGTTTGTTGTGTCTTTCGTCATCTTCTGCCGTCTTCTGCGCCCTCAAAGACAAGAGGGTGCCCTCTCTTACCCTCACTTTCTCATTAAGGTGTAACGTCCTTTCTCCCAAATCTCTCCGGACCGGATGGAAGTCTCAATGGTCTCGGTCCACCATCACGTTCATTGTGAGCTGACGTGAAGGTTGAGCATGGTGGTGACATCAGGTATCCATCGTAGTTTGACAGGGCGGCATAGAGTTCGTCCCAAACCTGTTGATCCAACAAGTCATGTTTCATGTCATACTCTTTGTCGGCATAGTCACATGACAGTAAATTCTTCTTGCTGAAAACTGAGAACTCGTCATTGTCATGTCTAGGGCCACTGTATAAGTACAGTATCTTCTTGCGTTACGACGGCGTTCCAACTGTAGCATTAACTGTATTCTGAGCAGCGTGATGAACCAGTTGTGACCCGTTCCGCCGCTGCTCCACATGCATTGATTCCACCCCGAGTCAGCAACGGGCCGTCTTACCACGACCCTTCTTGCCTCCACCACATCCTCCTCCCTTTCCTTTGTGATTCTTCAGGAAGTTCGGCTGAGGCATGGACTCGTGCGGGCACTTCGTCACAGGATGATGCCCCAAGCAACGTGTGCACTGATGAACTGTATCCCATGCTGATGGGACTACCCTCCCTGTGCTGTAGTTTCACAACGTCCTTCATTGTAGGCCGCACAAAGACCATATCCAGTTCTGTCGGAGGGGTACCTGGCATCCTGCACACTGGACCCACGGGGATTGGCATGTGGTTGCAGAGCTGGCAGGTGTTCAGCAATGCTTGTGTCATGCTTGACATCATTGACCCGGGGACGCTCACAAAGTACCGTGACTTGATTGAGCGATTTCACAACTTATGGTGCGGCAATTTGGGCGCTCCTGTGTCAAGCAGATACTCGCTTCAGGCTGGAAATGGTGGATAGAATACGAAGGCAGATACAGGCAGAGGAAGAGGCCCTGAAAGTTGCACATGTCACATTTCCAGGTGATCCACCCAAAGTACCTGGCTAGGACTTTAACAGACCATGGAACCTCTCCTATCAGCGTGGAATCAATCAAGAAAGTTATTGGAGAGAGGAAGTCGTCGAACCTGCCATGATGGTGTGCTCACCAAGGTCAGCGGCTCGGGTGAGGTCTTGGAAGGCGATGCCAAGATCAGACCTGAAAGTGGCGCGGCTGCGTGTCCAAGAGAGCCATCGTCATCGGCTCCGTCGAGGATGGTGAAGCAACCAGCGGCACTTCGACACTCGTGAGGACTCCATCGAGGCCAATCACATAGCCAGAAAATTTCAACTTCTTGACAAGTCTGTGCACATATGGTCCCCATATGGGGAAGTCACAGTATGGAGAGTGATTCTGGTTGATCAAGTGGTGTACTGCAGATAGTTGTTCAAGAGTGGGCTCACTCTCCTTCGGCGGATGTTCTTGGTCTCCGTAGACAACTGAATACCTCAAGTATGCTTGTTTCGGCACGTCTGTATGACAGCAAGCGCGTCGCCATCACCAACCAATGCCAGCATTCTAGGTGGTGTAGCTTGCATCACCCCCAACAACAATGCCAGGGTGCCACCAGTGGTTTTGTCTGATGTCAAATCATCACCTGTGAAACCTGCCCGGTCCATGACATGTCTCATCGTAGTCATATTCACGACGTAGGCGCTGGGTCCACCATAGCTAATGACCAATCCCGATGGAAGTTTCACCTGTCTCACCTGTGTCTTGTCGTCGCCAGCACCTCACGTTGCAAGCACAGATGATGAGTGTGAAGCAGCCACCTAGGATGATTGTGAGGATGGCAACTGCGAGCACGACGTCACCCTCTGTACCCCCACTGGTTGGGTACCAAAAAAAATCTACCCAACAGTGACCAATGGTCGGGTGTTAAGAATTGGAGGACTATCAAATCTTTGCCGGGTAGCTCATGACACTTCAGCTGACACGGGTCCTCTACTGGACTGCTTGAGGGATTGCAGGATTCGGATGGATTTGGATGGATTTTCGTATTGTCTGTCCCGACCAAGAGAACCGTCCAAACGGCAAAGTAGCAGCGGAAGGCAGCGGACACATCTGCAGAGCGTCCCTGGAGCTGGTCCCGAAGCCGATGGTTTTTGGTGCCAAGAGGCGCTAATTCAATGTAATTTCAAGCCGATTTAAAATATCTTCCAACGACATTGGGCAATGAGAGGCTGCCAGCCAGGCGAATCCTCTGTCAAACATGCAAGCTGTAGGCTACGCGAACAGACAATGAGAAACACGCGAACGCAAGACATGCACATACAGGTGCTGCATGTATGTGCACACGCATGCATGGATGAATAGTTGTAGAATGTTGTACAGATTGTACAGTAGGTATAGTAGGTGTCTGCTTGGGTGAAACAAGTTTGATAGACACCAACGCCATTTCGCGTTTTTCATAGAAGGAATAGAAAACGCGCGAATCCTACAAAGAGGAGCATGTGAAAGTATACTTCCTAGCACACCCCAACATACCCCAAATTTCGGCAAATGCGTGCGGGGCTGAGCAAGTTTCCAAGGGGGTCCAGGACACATGGTCTACCGGATGGAAGGGGCAACCGGCCACGTGTGATTGAGTGAGAGGGAGAGAGAGAGAGAGAGAGAGTTACAGTAGCAGGTCAATGAATGAATGGTTGAGTGATGTTGAGTGAGTGATCTTTGATGATCTTTGAGTCACTGATAAAGTGACTGACAGTGCGTTACACCGCCTACACCGTCTACACTGCCTACTGCAAAGCGTGGCACTGCATAATATCAAGTGCAAGTAAGGGGCTTGCAAGATGTGCACAAGGGGCCTACACGTGTTGCATATAAAGATTATAAAGTACCAAACAATGCGTAGCGACATCCGATTCCGACCCTCCAGGCTGAACCACAACTTGCCAAGGCTTGCTGAAGAGTACCACCGCGTTGCTACCGAAATGCAAGAATTTACTGTACGTTGCCAGGCGACCAGCATCCCGAGTGATCGTCTGCACTGATTGCGCAGGATCAGGTATGAGCAAAAACACAAATAGTGGGAGATTGTCGGAGCTAGCAACAGTTTGCTCTTGCCATATCTTTCAATATCAGAGTGGAATGCTACACCCAGCACGCAATAGCACAGCGCCCACAGCATTCGAGAATGTATGCACTATCATGCACTATCATGCACTCAATTCTAGAGCGCTGTCTCTCGGCGCAGGTCTAGTCAGGGCGTCCGCAAATTTGCAAGTGTACTCTCGAGGTCGGTTGTGAGCAGTATGAAGCCCGCCAGAGCATATCGATTTTGTGCGCGTCACTTCTGCAGTGAAAACCCCTTGCATTTGGATGATGTCGCTGGTTTGCTCAGCCCTGATGCCTGGAATAGCCTCAAATAGATTCAAATAGACCATAGATAACACTCTCAGTATCTCTCAGTCTTTTTTTCCAGTTACCGTATTTTGCTACCGTCGCTACCGTATCTCTATTCTTGGTTGGATGGATCGGTAAGAGATTTACCATTATTTTTATTCCTTGAGTATACATAGCCTCTGCCTCTTCATGCAAGCCACACAGTCGTGATGCTTCAGGTAAGCCACTGGCTTGTCTAAGCTACCGTAGCGTCTGATTTGCCACTGGCTTGCCGGTTTCTCTTCTAAACATTCGGTGAGGTAAATAGTCTGCGGCATATCTAAAGGTGATTATTGCGAGAGCCGGAGGTCCCGAGAATCCAACATATAGAATATATAGAGCCTTCAAAAATCTCCAAAAGCAAATGTTGCTAGGCATGCAGGTTGTAAGTCTGAGTGGAGGGCCACTAATAAAGGTGGTGGTTGACAAAGTTGAGCACTAGCACCTCTACATTGCTGATGCACTGGGCCAGCAAACACATCACAAAATTGTCAGATGAGCTAGGTGTCTGAATAAAGCAAATTTCCAGAAGCCATTCCATTTAGCCATACCATGCCATACCATGCCATACCATGCCATACCAGCCATACCATGCCATACCATGCCATACCATGCCATACCAGCCATACCATGCCATACCATTTAAGTAAACTTAGTGGATCAAAATGATCAAATCCAACCAAGGTTTGCCCATTGGGCGCTTGGCAATTCTTGTCACTTTACATCACTTTACCTGGTCACCTTTTGTACAGGGCCTCGGCTGCTTCGGGTGGATGTCCTGGCGGACCTTAATCCAAATACTGAACACATCTGCCCAATATGCTCGGCACATAGTGCCAGGATGTGCTGGGCATCTGCCAAGATTTTAACTAAAGCATGCTATAGCACTCTTTAACATTCTTTGATCATCAATGCGAGCTGTTGGCCACACTGCTCACAAATTGTTTTCTCACTTCCACATTTTGGACTCTTTGAACTGGGTTTGCCGTTTCCCCCTCTTCTTCTTCGTGAGGGCAAGGCAAACTCCTCGTCGTGCTAAGTGATACTATCTGGCGTTGAAACCTGTCAAGCATCTGAGCCCACAGAATACCAGACCAGTTCGAAAGCAGGCCTCTTTGACATGAAAATACATGAA